CCTTCTCTCCTCTCTCTCCCTCGTTCTCTCCTCCTTCTCCTCTCCTCCTCCTCTCTTCTCCTTCCTCCGTCTCCCTTTCCTTTCTTTCTCTCTCTCTCTCTCTGTAACAGCTGTTGTGTTCTCATAGAGTCAGTTATGAACAGCGCCCCCTGCAGAGACATTAATTACCCACACGCCCCTTCTGCCTCAGAGCTGAGAGCGCCCACATCTGCCCACCTCATGTGCCCACCTCATGTACCCGCCTCATGTACCCGCCTCATGTGTACCCACCTCATGTACCCACCTCATGTACCTCATGTGCCCACCTCATGTACCCGCCTCATGTGCCTGCCTCATCTGCCCACCTCATGTGTACCCACCTCATGTACCCACCTCATGTACCCGCCTCATGTGCCCACCTCATGTGCCTGCCTCATCTGCCCACCTCATGTGTACCCACCTCATGTACCCGCCTCATGTGCCCACCTCATGTACCCACCTCATGTACCCGCCTCATGTGCCCACCTCATGTGCCTGCCTCATCTGCCCGCCTCATGTGTACCCACCTCATGTACCCGCTTCATGTACCCGCCTCATGTGCCCACCTCATGTACCCACCTCATGTACCCGCCTCATGTGCCGACCTCATGTACCCGCTTCATGTACCCACCTCATGTACCCGCCTCATGTGCCCACCTCATGTGCCCACCTCATGTGTGCCCACCTCATGTGCCCACCTCATGTGTGCCCACCTCATGTGCCCGCCTGTGCCCACCTCATGTAGCCACCTCATGTAGCCACCTCATGTACCCGCCTCATGTGCCCACCTCATGTGCCCGCCTCATGTACCCACCTCATGTGCCCACCACATGTGCCCACCTCTTGTATCCGCCTCATGTGCCCGCCTCATGTATCTGCCTCATGTATCCACCTCATGTACCCGCCTCATGCCTCATGTGCCCACCTCATGTGCCCACCTCTTGTACCCGCCTCATGTGCCCACCTCTTGTACCCGCCTCATGTGCCCACCTCATGTATCTGCCTCATGTATCCACCTCATGTACCCGCCTCATGTGTGCCCACCTCACTCATGTGCCCACCTCTTGTACCTCATGCCTCATGTACCCACCTCATGTGCCTCATGTGCCCACCTCTCATGTACCCGCCTCATGTGCCCACCTCTTGTACCCGCCTCATGTGCCCGCCTCATGTATCTGCCTCATGTATCCACCTCTTGTACCCGCCTCATGTACCCACCTCATGTACCCACCTCATGTCATTCACCTCATGTACCCGCCTCATGTACCCGCCTCATGTGCCCACCTCATGCCTCATGTGCCCACCTCATGTACCCGCCTCATGTACCCGCCTCATGTGCCTCATGTGCCCGCCTCACCCGCCTCATGTACCCCCTCATGTGCCCGCCTCATGTACCCACCTCATGTACCCGCCTCATGTGCCCGCCTCATGTGCCCGCCTCATGTACCCGCCTCATGTACCCACCTCATGTGCCCGCCTCATGTACCCACCTCATGTGCCCTGGCACAGGACGCCCAGAGTCAGACCTGTGGGGCGTGGTGAGGGTCTGGGAGGGCATCAGGTGGAACTGAACAGGGGAGGAGAAACTGGAAACATTTTATTACACAAATAGATTCTTGTGAGTTTTAAAGCTGCATCATGTAACTTTTCTGGTTGCAATAAGGAGATGTTTTAATTGTTTTATTTACAGACTTGATATTTTACACTTGACTCAACTACAGCAGCAGATTGTGAAATAACAGGTTCATTAACTCTTCTTTAGGGGGTAAAAGGACGAGATTTAAATGTAAAAATAAGGGAAAAATCCAGATGAAATATAAACCAAATGTACTAAAACTGCCCTTAGGTCTTAAAGGGTTAATCAAATCTTAAACCAGGAGAGTCAAACTCATTTTGTTCCGGGGTCGTGTCCAACCGACTTTGATCCAAAGTGTCCGGATCAGAAAACTCATGTCATATAAACCCCAAAAATAACAATAAGTTTAAATATTTGTGCAGAGAAACACAAATCTATTACACAAATCTTTTTTAATTGATGAACTCTTTCTTATTAAAATATTATAATATTATGAACAACATGAAACTTTAAGAAAAATACAATTTCACCATAAAGTTTTTAACATGAACTTGTCTGTAAACAGGAATAAGTCCATTTTTGTTGTAAAATCCTGCACTCGGCTCCACTTTTCTCATGTTGGACATTTTTCTGATGAGGGTGTCACGGTCAACAGTCAAAACGATCGTCCTTTAAGAGCGTTTGGAAAGAGACAAGTCTTCATTTGTGCTGCTCTGGTGGGAGGGGCCATAAATTACCGATATTTAAATAGAAAATATCATTAAAATATTTTAGTAGAAAATCAGCCTGAGGGCCAGATTAAAGGTCTTGGAGGGCCGGATCTGGCCCCCGGGCCGTGTGTTTGACACCTGTGTCTTAAATGTTCCATATTAAACTATTTTCCGATCTGTCCTAATGTCGTTTCCTCGTCACAAACAGACCTGGAGTTGTGTTTTTGTGTTTCATTCGCACATCTCCAACCTTGTGATGTCACGAAGTGGTCGATTTCAAGCTCCTTTTATCTTTCGTTCAGCAGAGACTGGAATCACCCAAATGATTCTGGTGAAGGCGTGTGGAGTTTAAAAACACAGTGGAGCACTTCCTGTATCACCACATGATGACATCACGAGGTGCAACTGAGTGTTTTCCGTTTGAGAAGAGCCTAAATGTGCAGAGTTTGTGCGTTAAACGTGAATGAAACAAAAAAAAAAACACAACTCCAGGTCTGTTTTTGAACATTTTTGTTTTTGATGAGGAAACGACTTTAGAACAGATCAGAAAATAGTTTAATATGGAACATTTAAGATTTGATTAACGTAATTATTGCTTTTTTAAGGATTCTAGAGAATAATTTGGACTGTATAGATATAAAAAAAAGAGTATAAATGTTCCTCTGTTGTGAAGAATGTTGTGTTTAAATGTAAAAAAAACTCTGACTCGAGTGTTTCCTCCTTAATCTTTCAGAGCTGTTTTGTTTTTTCTTTTTTCTGCGTTTTCCTCTGCAGCTTTACACAAACTGATCTGGCGTTTGCCGTAAAAACTGATCCAGATAAAGAGCAGATATTCTAACACAAACGCCGATAAAACAAACCCACTTTTTCTCCCCGTGCTGCCCGGCTCCCCCCGCAGTACGTCCTGTCGTATCTCCAGGAGCAGATGTTTTGCTCTCTTCGATCTCTCTGGGATTGTGTTTTATTTTAAAGAAGACAAACTTGGATCAGTCTGAGAAAAAAAAAACTATAGGCCAATATTAAAACTGACACTTTCATCTAAAATAATACATGCATCATGAATTTCGGACTTCGATCATCGCACAATCCAAACCTCCACGTTTGTTTTCCCAGTGGGACGTGTCTATTGTCAAAGTTGATCTTTTCAAGTCTTTTGAACCATATCACTTTTGTTTCTGGTTCTGATATTGTCATATTTTAGTTTTGGGATTCAGACATTGTAATTGTTGTGGTTGTCGGATCCTAACAGCGGAAAACGACTCGAGAAATGGGCTTCAGAAGTTTGCGAACTCCATAATTGCAAAAAGGGTCATTCCACGCTATTTCATCAAATTTCCTGAAAATCTCACGCATCATGTTTTTTAAAAATTTTTGAAAAAATGACCAGCTGGTCCCAAACTATCATGTACCAACACTGGGAAGTTTTGGTGATTTTTAAGTTACATACTTTTCAGTGAGGGGAGTATTTGTCCATTTTCAGGCCCAAAATTGCGTCATTTTTTCTCGTCTGTTTTCACAGGTCGATATCTCCGTAAGTGTCACACATACAGAGGCTCAAATGTTGTAGACTTGTGCTCCTCACCTCTGTGTTCAAAGAACAACTATCGAAAGTTTGGTATCTCAAAATCCGTGTATCATTCGTTCATTCGTTTTTCAATATAAAACCAAAAATAAGAAAACGAAAAAACAACAGTTTTCTTCGTTATTTGTCTCCAAAACCAAAATGAAAAAACGGATAATGATTCGTTTTTTTTATCAGTTTTTGATTTTGTGTTTAAATGAAGAATGGAAAAAATGGATAACAGCCGTTTCCCGTTTACGTGACTTCTGTGACTGCGATGCCGAACTTTTGCACCGCGTACGGACTGAACCAGGACTGATCCAGGTCCGAGACCAGAGCGAGACTAGAGCGGAACTGAGACCGAGACCTGCGGTCCGAGCGGTTCCGTGTCATCGTCTCCGCGCTGGTTTCATGCGGGGAAAGTGAGATGTTCTGTGGACTACAGGTCTGGACGGGCTGCTCCTCCTCCACACTCAAGAACCACGACTGGTTCTGAGGTGGAGCAAAACATCCGACTGACACTTTCACACCAACGAAAACGAACCGAACTAAGAGCTTTTGGTTCAAATGGACCAGGTCCGGGACCAGACCGGGACCGGAGCGGGACTGAGACCGAGATAAGACCGAGACAAGACCGAGACCAGACCAGAGGCTCAGAGCCCACGGCAGGACCGGAGCTCGAAGCTGAGGCTTGGACCCCGCGGAGGCTCAGAGTTAAAGCTCGGAGTCCACTCTGGTCCCGCTCTGGTCCTGGTCTGGTCCTGGTCTGGTCCCGCTCTAGTCTCGGTCTGGTCGCCGTTATCCGTTTTTTCCATTGTTCATTTAAACACAAAATCGAAAAGTGAAAAAACGAATCGTTATCCGTTTTTCATTTTGGTTTTGGAGACAAATAATGAAGAAAACTGTTGTTTTTTCGTTTTCTTATTTTTGGTTTTATATTGAAAAATGAATGAACGAATGATACACGGATTTCTCAACTCATTGTCATTTTATATGAACTTCAAATTGGAAAAAAAAAACTCATTTCTGGGATGTTCTCCTCTGATATTCTGACAAAAAAATACAGAGATCTTTGTGTAAACGCCTTAAATAAATGAGTTTCTGTGTGACACTGACGTGCGCCCGTCTCCTTTAGGTGCTGTACTTCCACACGGCGCTCAGGGTCCCGTGGGTGCTGCTGGTGCTGGAGCTGGTGGAGCTGAGCGTCAGAGCAGACTCCTCCCACCAGGCCAGGGGGCGGGGCTTCACCCTGCTGCAGCTCTTCAGCTCCGCAGCGCCGCCTGCAGCCGCCGAGGGGAACCACAGGTAAAGACGCTCACCTGCACGAGAAATGGAACCACAAACTCAAACGTACAGATTCAACAAACAAGCGAGTGACCGTTTTTTACTCTTAAACGTTTTATATTACATCAGTCTGACTCTTGTTGAGCTTTAAGTCGTGTTCCAATGTTTCTCCTCACAAACAGACCTGGACTTGTGTTTTGTTTCATTCACATGTCGGAGTAAATCTGCAGTATTAGTTTGTCTGCATCTCCAAAACTCTAAATGCTCTGATTCTCTGTTGCACCTCGTGATGTCATGTAGTGGTAGTTTTAAAGTTAACAGTTTGTTTTAGCCTCAGTGGAACAGCTTTACTCTTCAGCAATGATAAGTTAACAATAATAATATGGTGCCAGCCCAGAAAAAATCTGTCATTTGTTTGATTGATCTGATATTTGAATATTTTACTCAAAATGATGCAGAATCATGTTGTTAACAGTAAAGCCGTTCAGAATCACCTACAGAACATAAAGTACAGACGACTACATCAGGACAGAACCTAGACTGAACCAAGACTGAACCATGACTATGACAATCTTGGACTAGGGATGGGCCTGATTAGTCGATTAATCGATAATTGATCATTAAGAATTTCATCGATTACGTTAATTTTAATCGACAAACCGAATGTAGGTTGAGACCAAACGTCTGTGTCTGGGGACAAACGTGGGTCCGGAGAAGAAGCTCTCTGCACTTAGGAGCGAGACACAAACAGTGGGTCAGTCTGTAATGAACCGAAGCACAAATGTGGATTTAACCAGGATTTGTAGAAGAAATTCCACACTTTCCGTTGCGTTGGGACAAGTGTGAGTCCATGTGCACAGTGGATAAAGCAGCACATATGTTTCTGTGTCCAGTGGGAAAAAGTTTTTCCAGGTGAGAGTCGCTCAATGTGGATGACGAGGCCCCGCCCCCCTCCCCCCGTACGCTGTCCTGGTTTTGACAAACACAAATCTGGTCACACTGACCTGTATTCACCTGAGTCATGTCTTTTAATCCAACACAAGTTGAACCACATCAGCGACACAAGAGCTGGAGTTTTATCTTCACTTAGTTTATGTAAATTAGTGATGTGGTTTTAAGTTTTGTTTCTGTGAGATTTGAACAAAACTGAATTAAACACATTATAATGTCAAACAGCTGATGTGGATCTAGAGTCGTTATGTTTATATGTCGTAAAGTTGAATTTATTGATGCAGATTAGTGCAGATAGTAATAATAATGATGATCATTTTAATAGAAAAACGTTAATGATTAATCGATAATCGATCGTTAATTCTTCCGACGATCGATTAAGAAAATTTAATCAAATGCCCGTCTCTACTCACAGCTGAAATATTCTAATAGAGGAGGGTTTGATCTTCACTTTTTATTTTACATTGATAGACCCAGAAATGACAAAGACATTCACTTTTAAAAACTTCAGAATCACTCTTAATACGTATCAATATTGTGACTTGTGTATTGAGATGAATCATGGGAAAACTGTATTGTTGCATCCCTAATACATACGCAGGGTTTGTGTGTTTGACATGTGTGGGAAAGAAACGAAACACAACTCGACGTGTGTTTGTGACGAGGAAACGACATCAGAACATCAGAAATACTAAAATAAACTCGTCCTTTAAACTCTGCTGAAGAAACCCTCCATAAAAGTTTGCGGTTTGGTTAAAAAAGCTCGTCTCACGTGGAGTGTGTGTGTTCAGTGTGTGTGTGTTCAGTGTGTGTGTGTGTTTAGTGTGTGTGTTGTGTGTGTTTAGTGTGTGTGTGTTTAGTGTGTGTGTGTTTAGTGTGTGTGTGTTTAGTGTGTGTGTGTGTGTGTGTGTTCAGTGTGTGTGTGTTTAGTGTGTGTGTGTTTAGTGTGTGTGTGTTTAGTGTGTGTGTGTGTTTAGTGTGTGTGTGTGTGTGTGTGTGTGTGTGTGTGTTTAGTGTGTGTGTGTTCAGTGTGTGTGTGTTTAGTGTGTGTGTGTTTAGTGTGTGTGTGTTTCAGTGTGTGTGTGTTCAGTGTGTGTGTGTTCAGTGTGTGTGTGTTCAGTGTGTGTGTGTGTTCAGTGTGTGTGTGTTCAGTGTGTGTGTGTTCAGTGTGTGTGTTCAGTGTGTGTGTGTTCAGTGTGTGTGTTCAGTGTGTGTGTTCAGTTTGTGTGTTGGGAAGTTTACTTTTAACATGTAATCTCCTACAGATTACAGATTACATATCCCAAAATGTAGTTTCCATTAAGTTACTTAAAGTGAGTAATGTAATCTGATTACTTTGGATTACTTGATTTGCTGTAGAGAAACAAAGACGAGGAAATCTTCACATAAGAAGTTTTGTCTGATAAAAGAAAATAAAAAGTCCAGATTTTACTGAACCAAATTAAAAATATTATTGATAGAAGAAGAAGAAACACGTCCACACAGCAGGATTTAGTCTTGTTTTAGTCCTGGTTTAGTCCTAGTTTAGATCTAGTTTAGAACTGATTTTAGTCCTGGTTTAGGTCTAGTTTAGATCTAGTTAAGGCCTGGTTTTAGTCCTAGTTTAGTCCTGTTTTAATCCTGGTTTAAATCCTGGTTTAGTCCTGGTTTAGTCTTGGTTTAGGTCTAGTTTAGACCTGGTTTAGTCTTGGTTTAGGTCTAGTTTAGGTCTAGTTTAGATCTAGTTAAGGCCTGGTTTAGTCCTGGTTTAGATCTAGTTTAGACCTGGTTTAGTTTCCGGCAATGAGCAGAATTACCGACAATGTGGAAACAGTAAAATCCCTCTGTGTAATCCATTTATTTCAACAAAGTAACTGTAATCCAATTACCACTCACTGAAACAGTAACTGTAACTGAATACAGTTACTCATCATTTGTACTCTGATTACTCTGGTACATGTAATCTGTTACTCCCCGACACTGTCAGTGTGTGTTCAGTGTGTGTGTTCAGTGTGTGTGTTTAGTGTGTGTGTTTAGTGTGTGTGTTTAGTGTGTGTGTTTAGTGTGTGTAGTGTGTGTGTTCAGTGTGCGTGTTCAGTGTGTGTGTTTAGTGTGTGTGTTCAGTGTGCGTGTTTAGTGTGCGTGTTTAGTGTGTGTGTTCAGTGTGTGTGTTCAGTGTGCGTGTTCAGTGTGTGTGTTTAGTGTGTGTGTTTAGTGTGTGTGTTCAGTGTGCGTGTTTAGTGTGCGTGTTTAGTGTGTGTGTTCAGTGTGTGTGTTCAGTGTGCGTGTTCAGTGTGTGTGTTTAGTGTGTGTGTTTAGTGTGTGTGTTCAGTGTGCGTGTTTCAGTGTGCGTGTTTAGTGTGTGTGTTCAGTGTGTGTGTGTTCAGTGTGCGTGTTCAGTGTGTGTGTGTTCAGTGTGTGTGTTCAGTGTGCGTGTTCAGTGTGTGTGTTCAGTGTGCGTGTTCAGTGTGTGTGTTCAGTGTGTGTGTGTGTCAGTGTGTGTTCAGTGTGTGTTCAGTGTGTGTGTGTGTCAGTGTGCGTGTTTAGTGTGTGTGTTCAGTGTGTGTGTGTTCAGTGTTGCGTGTTCAGTGTGTGTGTGTTCAGTGTGTGTGTTCAGTGTGTGTGTTCAGTGTGTGTGTTCAGTGTGTGTGTTCAGTGTGCGTGTTCAGTGTGTGTGTTCAGTGTGTGTGTTTAGTGTGTGTGTTTAGTGTGTGTGTGTTCAGTGTGTGTGTGTTCAGTGTGCGTGTTTAGTGTGCGTGTTTAGTGTGTGTGTTCAGTGTGTGTGTTCAGTGTGCGTCAGGTCTGAGTGCCGGATCCATGAAGAGCCTTTGTGTTCCGTTCTGGTCTGGTCGGGCTCAGAGTGCGCTGTTATGTTCATGTCACAGACGCTCGTGTTGAAGCCGCAGATCGGTGTGTGTGTGTTTGTGTGTGTGTGTGTTTGTGTGTGTGTGTGTGTGTGTGTGTGTGTGTGTGTGTGTGTGTGTGTGTGTGTGTGTGTGTTTGCTCTCAGCCGCTCTTACACGAGGCTTTCAGACGCACTCTCACCTCCCACACAATCCTCCGTGTTGTTCCTCTCGTTTCAGACTCCATCTACATCACGGGTCCCCGAGGAGCCTGCTCCACCCGTCCCTGAAGAGCCCCGCGCACTGTAAGGACCCTCCGATCTCTGCCTTTGTGCCTTTGTGCCTTTGGGCTCGTGCATTCGCGGTGAAGTTTGTGTGGAAATGATGTTAATGAAGCGGGTTGAAGAGGTGTCTGCGAAAATGCAGCACCGAAGCCGGAAGAAAGAAAGAAAGAAAGAAAGAAGTGCTCGAAACGCTGATGTAGTTTGTTTAAAGTGTAGACGGCCGCTTTAACTGGTTTATACGCTGTAATGTCTGGCTCAAGGGCACAAAAACATGAGACAGGAGAGGCTAAACATGCTCAAAAACTAAATGTGTTTACAAAAGAAAGTTACCGTAATGTCTGGAGTATAAATTGCTCCGGAGAATAAGTCGCACCAGCCAAAAAATAAAAAAAACGTACAGTAAAATACCAAATAAACGCCGAGTCTAGTCCAGCAGCAGTTTGTTTTTTGTTTTTTTATTTAACCAAGATGTGTTGATTCGTGCAGCGACACCACAGAGAGTCTGATGTTTACAGCGACAGGAGCAGTTTGACTTCAGGTCAGTCCTGCCCACACCAGTCTGGTCGTGAGACTCGGAGCGGATAGGCTCTGTTTTCTGCGCCGATCAGCCTCAGCTTCACTGAAAAAGTGGAGGAACAGACGACGATGCCGTGAAATCCCGATTTCAGAGTGATGTAAAAAAGAAAGATGACGTAACACAGCGGCGGGAAATGGAAGCAGTTTTTAGGAGTTTTGGTAAAATGACTTGAGTTTGGCGATTGGGAGGAAGCAGCGATGTGGTCGTAGCTGCTGTGGCGAAAGAGGAAAGTTGTGGCAAAGGGGCGAGGACAGACAGGGGGCGAGGTGGCATAACAACGACACCGAGGCGTGTAGTAAAAAGTGTAAACTATAGTTATACTGGTTAAAGGTTGTATAGAGGATTTTTTAAGGGAAGAGAAATACAGCGACAGTCCTTTTTAAAATGTTGTACATGCACGACACCACCTTCCTCCTCCACAGCCTCAGTAGAAACATCTCCTCCCGCCTCTTTACTCTAGAAATCACGCTTGCTTCCAGCCAGTGCGCGTTCAGAATTACTGTTGAAGTTTCCTGTCTAGAAATAATTTATCGACCGACGCGTCAGTTTTTAGCTCCTTCGTCTGCTTCAGTCGCGCCATCGCTGGAAGGAATCTCTAAGAATCACCTCGGTTTGTCTTCGCTCCTTTTCCTCTTCTTCTCTTCTTCTTTCAGCGACCTCAAAAACCGACTTTCTTTTGCGGCGAACTGCTCGTGGATTCCCGTCGGCCGTCGCAACAAACTTTGTGTGAAATGTGAGGAAGCGACAGGTTTGAAAAAGCCTCTAAGAACCGCTGCATAAACCACGTGATCCCCACATCCTGACGAGTCAGTTACACTAGAAACGTAGGGAGTTTGATTGACAACCTAACAGCCAATAGAAAGTGAGGGAGCCTCGTTTTCTGTTGGCTGATGTTTATCTGGCCTCAACACATCCACAGTTGATAAATTTTCATTCTTTTTTTTTTTTTGGTCATCATAATTACAAGGCTGCTGCGTCTCTCTAATGGTATTTTAAACTTTCATTGACAATTTGAAACACAAAAAAAAAATCCTCCATACAACCTTTAAAGAAATTCGAGGAGCACTGTGGATATCAGACAGTGGGAAAAGACAGTGGACTACAAATATTTGTCATCATGAAGTTGGCTAGTGTGTGTGTGTGTGTCAGTTTTGTGTGTGACTTGACAGTTGTTGACAGACCCCATGTCTGGTATGTTAATTAGCATATTAACAGTGTTGACCTCAGCTTGGAAGTCTGCTGGCAGCTTTTGGGCGTTAAAATGTTTTTATTAATGCAAAATAAAATCTCCAGCACAAATGATGCATAATATTCTTACATTCATCATTTGTATGTTTTACTTTACTCTCATATTTAGTTTACGGGACTGTAATTTATCATCCCACCTGCCCCCTCCCACAGTGTGTAGTCCCGCCCCCACAGTGAGTTTTCAAAATGTGTCCCGCGCCCAGTGTTGGGAAGTTTACTTTTAAAATGTAATCCCCTACAGATTACAGATTACACACACCAAAATGTAGTTTGTAACAGAATCCATTAAATTACTTAAAGTGAGTAATGTAATCTGATTACTTTGGATTACTTGATTTGCTGTAGAGAAACAAAGACGAGGAAATCTTCACATAAGAAGTTTTATCTACTAAAAGAAAATAAAAAGTCCAGATTTTACTGAACCAAATTTAAAATATTATTGATAGAAGAAGAAGAAACACGTCCACACAGCAGGATTTAGTCCTGGTTTTAGTCCTAGTTTTAGTCCTGGTTTAGACCTGGTTTAGATCTAGTTTAGACCTGGTTTTAGTCCTGGTTTAGTCCTGGTTTTAGTCCTGGTTTTTGTCCTGGTTTTAGTCCTGGTTTAGTCCTAGTTTTAGTCCTGGTTTAGACCTGGTTTAGATCTAGTTTAGATCTGGTTTAGACCTGGTTTTAGTCCTGGTTTAGTCCTGGTTTAGACCTGGTTTTAGTCCTGGTTTAGTCCTGGTTTAGTCCTGGTTTAGTCCTAGTTTTAGTCCTGGTTTAGACCTGGTTTAGATCTAGTTTAGATCTGGTCCTGGTTTTAGAGTCCTGGTTTAGTCCTGGTTTAGTCCTGGTTTTAGTCCTGGTTTAGTCCTGGTTTTAGTCCTGGTTTAGTCCTGGTTTAGTTTCCAGCAATGAGTGGAATTACCGAAAAAGAAATAAAAAGAAATAAATGGGGGGATTTAGCCCAAAATGTGAAAACAGTAAAATCCCTCTGTGTAATCCATTTATTTCCACAAAGTAACTGTAATCCAATTACCACTCACTGAAACAGTAACTGTAACTGAATACAGTTACTCATCATTTGTACTCTGATTACTCTGGTACATGTAATCTGTTACTCCCCGACACTGCTCGCGCCGCACCGGTTTGCGTCGGGGTTGCAGGACACACACAGTATCATCATTAATATTCCTCGTTGTATTTCTTTCTTTCTTTTACAAACATATCCAAACATTTAGAAGAGTTCATACAATTCTGAGCTAAAGTTGTAAAAAGTGAACTCCTTAGAAGTGACGTTAAAGGTTGTATAGAGGATTTTCCAAGGAACGAGAAATCCAGCGACTGTTTGTCCTTTTTCAAATGTTGCGCATGCGTGAAACCACCCCCCCTCCCCTACAGCTCCCTACGTAGAAACGCCTTCTCCCGCTCCTCACTACGCCACAAACAGGTTTGTTTACAGCCGGTGAGCTGCACATGACTTGTAAACAACTAACTACAGTGTTGGTTAGGCAAGGCGGAGAAGTGAGGAGCGGGGGGAGCGGGTGTGCGGACATTTCGTTCGCGGACGAGAAGTGAGGAGCAGGGAGAAGAGCGGAGCAGGGAGAGAGGAGAGAGGAGAGAGGAGAGGGGAGAGGGGAGCGGAGATTCCGTGCCCGTAGAAGTGAGGAGAAGGGGGAAGAGCGGAACGGGCAGCGGGGACAGGAGTAGGAAAGGGGAGCAGAGAAGGTTGCGCGGAGATTCAGTGCGAATGAACTAGCTACAACACGCAGCAGCAAGCGGACTCTTTCTTTGCCTTGAAAATTACGTTTTCAGACATAGGATATCGCTTTCGTGTCCTGAAAAACGTTTGACTAGCTCTTGGAAATAAAGTACGTTTTCATAATAAGCAGAAGTTTCCTGTCCAGGAGTAATTTGGCGACCAATGCGTCAGTCTTTAGACCCTGCGTCTGCTTCAGTCGCGCCATCGCTGGAATGAATCTTCAAGAATCACCTTAGTTTGGCTTCGCTGCTTTTCCCCTTGTCTTCTTCTTTCAGCGACCTCAAAAACGGACTTTCTTTTGCGGCTAACTGCTCCTGGATTCTTGTCTGCCATTGCAACAAACTTTGTGCTAACTGCGAGGAAGATATAGGTCAAAAAAGCCGCTAAGAACTGTTGCGTTGGTGGAGTAAACAGCGTCTGTGCGTCTTGCGTCTGTGGACTGCGTGACAGGCGTACGTAAACCACGTACCGGCGGCGCGCAGGCAGGTCAGTTACGCTAGAAACGTAGGGAGTTTGATTGATAGCCTGTCAGCTAACAGATAACGAGGCAATGTCGTTATCTATTGGCAAATGTTTAGCTGGCCCCACCACGTCCAGAGTTGATGAATTTTTATTCTCTTTTTTTTGGTCATCATAATTACAAGGCTACTGCACCTCTATAATGCTATCATTGACAACTTGAAACAAAAAAAACAAAAAAAAAATCCTCCATACAACCTTTAAGCCCTGTTCCACGGGATAAGTTCAACCTGGGGACGTCTGGTCATTTGCAAATTACAAACGCCAAACGTCTGCCTTACTCACAGAGCGACACACGAGGTAAGTGAAGTCTGTAAAAGACTAAAAGAGTTTTACTCACACTGACTGAGATTGGAAGAGAAAAGAACACGTAAAGAAAAGAAAGAGATAGAAAAGCTCGTCCTGTCACATGAATATTGGAGGAGCGTCAGAGCGCCGGCCCGTTTCACTCACACTTCACACCAACGCTTTCAGTTTTCAGAGTCGTGTGTAAATGCATCCGTCCATCTTCTTCTGCCGCTTGGATCCACGAAATTATGATTAAAAAATTTAAAATAATTTAGTGAACAGTAATCCAAGAAACATCAGATACATTGTGCATCTCGTCCAGGTCCTTTCACAATAAAACACATCCGGTTTACCAAAATAAAACATTTTAGTCACATTTAGTGTACGTTTTTTAGTTGCTTTCAATTCACACTAATGCCAAGTACAGCGTTGTCACACTCCTGGAAATCCTGGAAAAGTTGGAAACTGAAAATGTAATTTTCCAGGCCCGGACAAGTCATGGAATTTTAGTCTCTCTTTCGCACAGCTCCAGTGTTCTGTTAAATTTTCATTAGATTATTCTGATTATTTCTGAACGTCTGAGTCTTTTGTGCTGGAAAGTCATGGAAAATTCACTTTAGGTCAGTGGTCCTCAAACTTTTGAGC